TTTTTACTGTGGGCCAGTGGCTGCGCCCGTCTGAGCTGAGCCTCAGTTTTCCCAGCTGGGCAATGGGAAGGCAGCAGCTGACTCCAGGTTGCTGCAGGGAACAGGGCTGTTTGGGAAGCGGCCTCTTCTGTTGTTGTTCTGAACCTTTGGTGTCTTTTTAAAGATTTTAGCTAAAATTCCTACACGCTAGAATGCACACATCTCCAGTGTGCAGTTCCGTGGCCTTTAGTGTATTTAGCTGGACAGTGCTCACCATTGTCTAATTCCAGAACATTCCCTTCACCCACAACCGTTAACATCACTCCCGTTTCTTCCTCTGCTGATGTAGTTCCTGCCTGTCTGGATTTGCCTGTCCCCGACGTGTCACATGATTGGGATCATACGACACGCGCTCCGTGTGGCTGGCTCCTGTCGGTGTGCTGTGGGCGGCACCAGCCCTTCCTGGCTCCTCTGCGTTTCATGTTTAATGCTGGTTTGATTTTAAACATGTCACATCCTTAATGTTACCCAGCCAGGAGAAAGGGAGCAGCAGAGGCACGAGCCAGCCTCACTGAGGGAGCACCTGCTTCCTGCCAGGCAGGGTGCTAGGCCCTGGGACCCAGCCAGGGGCAGAACAGACATGGCGCCAGCCCCACATGGGCACATCGGCAGGCAGCTGGATCAGAAGCAGAGCTGGGCACTCATAGGGAACACGGGCATCTTAACAGCTGAGCCAGACACCCACCTCAGGACTCTCTGTCCCTGCTTCTGAGCCCCGCGCTCATTTGTGTTGGCCCCACTGTCAGGCAGTCTCCCCCAGTGGTGGCAACTGTGGGCCCCACCCCCCAAGTCTACATCCCAGCGTCTTAGGAAGCCCATGGGAAGAGGGTGCCATCTCTGTGCACACAACACTTTTCCAGCAAAAACGGGAGTAGTTTTCATTGGCCCATCTTGGTCACATGCCCTCCTCTGATCCAATCCCTATAGCCAGAGAGATTCGATGTTCTCATTGGTCAGGCCTGAGTCACATGGCCATTCTTAGACCTCTGGTCAGGCCTGAGTCACATGGCCGTTCTTAGACCTCTGGGCTGCAGTCCTGCAGGAAGTCCAAAGAGTTTTATTGGGCCAGTTTAGGTAACATGGCCGTCCCCGACCCAATCCTGGCGGCCAGAGTGAATTCAGTGCTCTGACTGGCCAGCCTTGGGACAGATGACTGCCTTTGGAATCCTGGGTTTCCTTAGTTCACGCAAGTGGCTGAGCCCTGAGGAATGGCATCTGAGGAGCTGGGCAGGTAAAAGCAGCTGTTCTCTGTCGCAGGACTGGGAGCCAAAGTCCTGAGTAGGTTCCTGAGGGTTTTGTTTGTTTGTTTGTAAGATTTTTTTTTTTTTTTTTTGAAATCAGAGAAGCAGAGAGAGAGAAATCTTCCATCCTCTGTTCACTCCCTAAGTGGCTGCAATGGCCAGAGCTGGGCCAGTCTGAAGCGGGGAGCCAAGAGCCAGGAGCTTCCTACGGGTCTCCTGGGTGCAGGGCCCCAAGCACTTGGTCCATCTTCTGCTGGTTTCCCAGGTGCATTAGCAGGGAGCTGGATGGGAAGTGGAGCAGCCGGGACTCAAACCAGTTCCCATACAGGATGCTGGTGCTGCAAGGTGGCGGCTTTACCTGCCACACCACAGTGCTGGCCCAGGTCTTGAGTTTTGGCTTGCTGTAGTCTGTTACCACTTAATTTCGTTGCGATTTTGTTTTCTTCCCTGGAGTTCCTCCATCTGTTTAGAATCACACGAGGAGTATGTAAATGTATTCCTTTGGTAAGGAGGTCTTCCTAACCTTGTCTTCAGTAAAACAAAGTCTCCTTTCAACCCCCGCCCCAACCCCTCGCCCACAAGAGAGCTTCCATTCCCATCTGTTGTCCAACTGGCTCCACCCCTCCCTGTGCACTCACAAGGGGCCTAGATGGATACATTTTAAATGTTTCTGTTTCTCCTGTCTAAGTTTCTGAATGGGTCTTCATGGCGCAAACATCAGCCATGATAGAACAAGCGCACATGGAAGTGGTCTGCTGCCTCCCTGTTTTCCATCCCCTGAGTTCTCAGCCATCTGTTGTTGGTTTCCTGTTTACCGCAGGGTTTTCATGCATGTGCACAATGCCGGCCACTGCAGATGCACAGCCTATGGTGGCGCTAACCTGCTGTCCCTCTTCACAGTAACTCTTAGGGATTCACCCATGGGCGCACAGGCTGGCTCCGATTGTTTTAAAGATTTATGTATTTACTTGAAAGACGGAGAGAGAGAGAGAGAAACAGAGATCAATCTTCTATCTGCTGATTGACTCCCCACATGGCCACAACAGCTAAGGCTACTGGGCCAGGCCAAAGCCAGGAGCCCAAAACTCCATCCAGGTCTCCCATACGGGTGGTAGGGACGCAAGTACCTGGGCCGTCATCTGCTGTCTTCCCAAGCACATTGGCAAGAAGCAGGATTGGAAGCGGAGCAGCCGAAGCTTGAACTGGTGTTCCGGTACGGGATGTTGGTGTTGCGAGCGGCTGCTCCACTGCTGTGCTACACGTCACCAGCCTAGCTGGTTCACTCTTGGTGGACATGAGGTCGTCCCACTGCAAACTCTGCGCCAGCGTCCTTGGACACCTCTTTGTGCCCATGCGCCAGGACTGCTGGAGGCATTTTCCTGGAAGTAGGAAAGCAGGTGCTGGATCAGGCGGCTGCACACTTTGCGTCTGGGGAGGACCTGCCAAACCGCCTTCCAAGAAGGCTCCGCCAGTTGACACCACAACCGGCAGAGGCCGAGTGTGCCCACTGCTCCTTTGCCAACTACATATTTTCCACCTTTGACGTTTCGGCCAATCTGATGACTAGGAAGGGGTGTCCTGTGTTCATTTGTGTTTCCCTGCTGCTCAGTGAGGCCGAGCAGTGTGATGCGTATTTCTTTGTGCATTGCCTGCCCACAGCTGAGACTCGTTGCTCTTCGGGCAGTCTCTTTCTTTGCCAATGGTTTTCATTTATGTGTTGGGCCACTCATCACTCAGGGCCTGTTGTTGGGCCAGGCGGTGTTCTAGATGCCCGGAGACACAGCAGTGAGCTCGACACAGCTCCTGTCCTCCCGGGACTCACTCTAGGAGCAGGAAACCAGTTTGGAAAAAATAAAAATGAAAAAGCACAAGAGAGTTGTTCTGGGCCGACATTGTGGCGCAGTGAGTTAAGCCGCTGCCGGAGACACCAGCATCCCATATCAGAGCACAGGTGGGAGTCCCAGTGCTCCGCTTCTGATCCAGCGCCCTGCTAATGCACCCGGGAAAGCAGCAGTGCCACCCACGTGGGAGACCCAGACAGGGTTCCAGCCTGGCGCAGCCCCACTCCTACCCCCTCCCTACTGCCGCCATTGTGGTCATTTGGAGAGTGAACCAGCATCTGGATGGAGGATCTCTCTCTGTGTCTCTCTGCTTTTCAAATGAATGAGTAAATAATTTTTGAAAAATTATTTACTAGAAAGGCAGAGTTACAGAGAGACAGAGAGAGGTCTTCCATCCGCTGGTTCCCTTGCCAAATAGCCCCAGTGGCCAGAGCTAGGCCAGGCCAAAGCCAGGAGCTTCTGCCAGGTCTCCCATGTGGCTGCAGGGGCCCAAGCACTTGGGCCGTCCTCCGATGCTTTCCCAGGTGCATTAGCAGGGAGCTGGATTGGAAGAGGAACGTCCAGGACACGAACTGGCACCACAGGCAGTGGCTTTACCCACTATGCCACAGCACCTGCGCCAATAATTTTTTTTTAACTAAGAGCTGTGGAGACGAAGCAGACACTTTTTTTTTTTAAGAGTTATTTATTTTATTTGAAAGACAGAGAGGCAGAGGCAGGGGGAGAGAGAGAGAGAGGTCTTCCATCTGCTGGTTCACTTCCCAGATGGTTGCAATGGCCAGAGCTGCACCGATCTGAAGCCAGGATCCTGAAGCTTCTCCCTGGTCTCCCACGTGGGTGCAGGAGCCCAGCGACTTGGGCCACCTTCTGCTGGTTTCCTGGGCCATAGCAGAGAGCTGGATCAGAAGTGTGGAAGCCAGGACTAGACCTGGTGCCCATGTGGGATACCGGCGCTGCAGGTTGCGGCTTACCCGCTGCGCCATGGCACCGGCCCCGCAGAATTCTTCTAGAGGGGCTTCTTCGACGGAAGGAGAGCAGGTCTTTGCTCCGACACCACCACGTGTGCCTCCAGTTTGTCACCCTGCCTTCCTACTCCGTCTGCCAGGCGCTGGCTGATGCAGAGCATTTGCCTGTTTATGGGGTCAGGTTTATAAATCTTTCCCTCCACGGTCTTTGTGCTTGGAAAGGTTTTCTCCATTCCAAGGCTTTAAAAGCCTCCGCCGAGGTTTCCTTATGGATTTTCTTACTCCGTTTGCGTCTTTAATCCACATCTGGTGTTGTTTTCCGTCTAAGGAGCAAGGAAGGGCTCCAGCTGGGCCGGTTCGCCAGCTGGCGGTGACGGTCCACTAAACCACCCGTGGGATCCAAGTGGCCTCTGGGAAACGCATGAACCCTCCCGTGCAGCCGCCGCGTCTGCTTTTGCAATTTCTGCCCGCCCCTCCAGCGCGCCCGCCGTCCAGATCACCATGGCTTTGTGTGTGTTTGGGTATCTGGAAAGGGTGACTCCGGCCCATTGCTTAACTTCCCGGGCCTCTGTTTCCTGCTCTGTGACGTGGATCCGACCCAGCTCGAACGGTGGTTCCGTGACTTGATGGGTTAATGGCCACTTTAGTGCCGGGCCAGGGTTGCGGCGTGGGGGGCAGGGGGGCAGGTAAACCTCTTGGAGATGGCGATAGCAGAGCTGAAATCTGATCTGCAGAGGGGGCTGCGGGGTCGGGCGCGGGAACCGCGGCTGACCCCTGCCCCTGTGCCCACAGTCAATGGAGTCACAGGTGGAGGAGTGGTACCGCGAGGTGGGAGAGCTGCAGGCGCAGACGGCGGCGCTGCCGCTGGAGCCGGCGAGCAAGGAGCTGGTGGGCGAGCGGCAGAACGCGGTGGGCGAGCGCCTGGTGCGCCTGCTCGAGCCACTGCAGGAGCGCCGTCGCTTGCTGCTGGCCTCCAAGGAGCTGCACCAGGTGGCGCACGACCTGGACGACGAGCTGGTGAGAGGGCGGGGCCGGGGCGGCTGAGACCCGCCCCCTGAGGAGCTGATGGACGTTCAGCCCTTGGCGTAGTCACTCCCCACCTGTTGATGTATTCACACATTCGCCCTTTATTCCTTCCTCCCTCACTTATTGCTCATTTGTCCACTCATCTATGGAGTTCCTCACTCACTCACTTCCTGATTTGCTCGTTCATTCATTCACCTTCTCACTGCTCTGCCCACTGACTTGGTCATTGCAGTCCCAGCCCTGTGTCTGGGGAACACGGACATCGTGGGGGTGACCAAGGCCACTGCTGTCCACAAGGGACTTGGGGTCCAGGGGAGGAACACCTGTCCCCAGACAGTGGTCACCCTGGGTGGTTAGGGCTATGATGGGGGGAGGGGGTCTAGGCCATGGGCGCCCAGAGAAGGCAGCTGGCCAAGGGTCTGTGCGAGGGGCTCGGGCTTTAGCTGGGATGCAGGGGTCCTCGGGTGCATCCTCCCCTGACCTGCTCCCCGTGTCTCCTCCCCAGGCCTGGGTTCAAGAGCGGCTGCCACTGGCCATGCAGACAGAGCGGGGCAGTGGTTTGCAGGCTGTCCAGCAGCACATCAAAAAGAACCAGGTGAGCTGGACCAGGTGAGGGAGTGAGCCAGGACACCTCGGATACAGGTGACAGAAAACAGCTCAAGGTGGCTGGAGTCCAGAACCGGGAATTTGTTGGCCCTTGCATTGAAAATAGTGGGGGTAGCAGGTGCGCGGTGTCAAGTTCCCCCAGACCCCCTCGTGACTCTCTGGGCTGCGTGGTTGCGGTTTCCCCCCTCGGTTAGCTTTGTTCTCAGGCCAGTTGTCCTCTCCTGTGACGCTGAGGGCCTCTGGCAGATCCTGCCAGCAAAACTGAAGCCAGAAACGTCCAGCCCCAGTCCCAGGGGCGACTCTTACTGGCTCAGCTGAAGTCAGACGCCCACTCCTGAGCGTGACCGGGCTGGCCAGGGATCTGGAGTGCTGCTTAGCCTGGCCCGGGCCATGCCAGAGCCTGCTGGTGAAGTCAGCCTTGGTGACCCAGGCTCAGGTGGACAGGAGGAGGTTCTGCGAAGGAAAATGGGGGTCCCATGACTCAAAGTAAGGGGACAGGTGAGAGCAAGGAAAGGCAGCAGACAGAAGCTCAGCCAACACCCACAGGGAGAAGGAGCGTCCGTGAGAGGGTGCTGGCCCCAGAGGAGCGGGGTGGTAAGGGGCCTCCACAGCTGAGTGGAGCAGTGGTTCTCAAACTGAGAGAGAGGAACCCTCTTAGTGTTCAGGCAGAAAAGAACTAGCAGGCGTTGGGTGAGGCCTCACCAGGGGCCCAGTGCCGAGCGTGGGCTGCTCGAGCAAGCCCTGCTCGCCACACACCGTCCCGAGGGGCCCGGGGCGCACCCAACCACAACCCCCAAGGGAGACGTCAGCAGGCCACCGCTGGCCTTGGAGCTTAGGCCAGCGCCTCTGTCTGCTCTCCCGTGAAGGGGAATGATCGTGCCACCTGGCTCCTGGGGTCCGAGTGAGGAGATGACCCCAGCAGGTGCAGCCCGTCCTTAGCACAGCTCCTGGCAGGTGGCAGGCGCTCAGGAGGTGGTGGCTGTGACTGGGAGCGCTGTTTGCCACTTGAGAAAACCAAGGCACAGGGCCGGCGCCGCGGCTCACTAGGCTAATCCTCCGCCTAGCGGCGCCGGCACACCGGGTTCTAGTCCCGGTCGGGGCGCCGGATTCTGTCCCGGTTGCCCCTCTTCCAGGCCAGCCCTCTGCTGTGGCCAGGGAGTGCAGTGGAGGATGGCCCAGGTGCTTGGGCCCTGCACCCCATGGGAGACCAGGAAAAGCACCTGGCTCCTGGCTCCTGCCATCGGATCAGCGCGGTGCGCCGGCCGCAGCGCGCCGGCCGCGGCGGCCATTGGAGGGTGAACCAACGGCAAAAGGAAGACCTTTCTCTCTGTCTCTCTCTCTCACTGTCCACTCTGCCTGTCAAAAAAAAAAAAATGATGGACAGGGCTGGATCCCTGTTCATTTAAAAAAAAAAAAAAAAGAAAACCAAGGCACAGCTTAAATGGACAGCAGCAAGTACACAGCTGACCGAGGGAACCTCCTGGGGAGGTGGGACCCTCCGTGTCTTCACCTGGGCTCCTTGGTGTGTGCGAGGGAGAATGTGGCCTCCAGTGCACCTGCGAGCCAGGCCACGCAGACCCTGTGGGTACCAAGATCTGTGGGTGCTCCGGTCCCTTGTGCCGGATGGCAGGGTGTTTTCCTGCAAGCTGCCCTGCCCTCCTGGACGGGTCACATCATCTCTAGCTAACTTATCCTTAATGCAAGGGAAATGCTGTGGGCACAGCTGCGTTGCTTGGGAAATACCATTCTGTGCAGACTAAGTTTTTTTTTTTTCCTGAATATTTTCCAGCTGGGGTACCCGAATGGGAGTGCAGAGGGACAGATAGGGAGGCAGGGCTGTAGATTTCCGAGCAGCCCGCCACCCTACCTTTCACCCCCAGCGTCTTGGTTCCGTCTGGGTCTGCAGCGGACACGTCCCTACACTCTCCTTTGTCTGCACCTGCTTTCCCACCGGCAGGGCCGGGGTGCAGGGAGCCGGGACCCACATGATGCTTCCTGGGTCCCTGGCGCTTGGCGAACGATCCGCGGGTGCGTGGGCGGGCAGCTTCCAGATCTGGCCAGGCCTTTGAGAGCGCCCTCAACGTCCTCCTCCATCTCCTGTCCCAGGGCCTGCGGCGCGAGATCCAAGCCCACGGGCCGCGCCTGGAGGAGGTGCTGGAGCGAGCGGGTGCGCTGGCGTCGCTGCGCAGCCCCGAGGCCGAGGCGGTGCGCCGGGGCCTGGAGCAGCTGCAGGGCGCCTGGGGCGGCCTGCGGGAAGCGGCTGAGCGGCGGCAGCAGGCGCTAGACGCCGCCTTCCAGGTGGAGCAGTACTATTTCGACGTGGCCGAGGTGGAGGCGTGGCTGGGCGAGCAGGAGCTGCTCATGATGAGTGAGGACAAGGGCAAGGTGCGCCCGGGCTGGGGGCGCGAGGGCCTGGGGGCGCCGGAGCCCAGCGCCGGGCGCCGCGGCCTCACCGCGGGCGCCGTGTGCCCCCGCCCAGGACGAGCAGAGCACGCTGCAACTGCTGAAGAAGCACTTGCAGCTGGAGCAGGGCGTGGAGAACTACGAGGAGAGCATCGCGCAGCTGTCGCGGCAGTGCCGGGCGCTGCTGGAGATGGGGCACCCGGACAGGTGGGCGGCCGGGGGCGGCGCGCGGCTGGGAGGCGGGCGGCGCCTGGGCACCCTGCGACTCCTGTAGGGGTGGGGGGAGAGGGGAGGGGCAGCCCTGCTGTGGGAAGGGAGGGTTGCAGGTGTGCGCGCGCGCGGGGTGGGGGGCGTCGCAGCTGGGTCCCGGAAGTCTCAGGGGGCTCCATCCCTGCCGGTCCCTGTCCCCCCCGTCAGCGAGCAGATCAGCCGGCGGCAGTCGCAGGTGGACCGGCTGTACGTGGCCCTCAAGGAGCTGGGCGAGGAGCGCAGGGTGGGCCTGGAGCAGCAGTACTGGCTGTACCAGCTCAGCCGCCAGGTGGACGAGCTGGAGCACTGGATCGCGGAGAAGGAGGTGGTGGCCGGCTCGCCGGAGCTGGGCCAGGACTTCGAGCACGTCTCTGTGAGCATCTGGGAGTAACAGTGCCCCCCAGCGGCCGGGGTGTGCGCTGCCGCGGTCCTCTGGGCCTCCGTTTCCCCATCCCGAGAGTGAGATTAACAATAGCAGGCGCGTGAGGCTCCAGTGTGGGACAAGGGGGTTCATACCAGGTAAAGCAGGTAGGACCGCACGTGGCACACAGAGCGCCTGGCAACAGTAACGTGCTACTGTTATTGCTACAGAGTATGTATGCAGTAAGTGTGAGGTTTTATCATTTGTATTTACTGGAAAGGCAGAGAGAGAACTCCCAGAGAGGCAGAGAGGGAGAGACAGAGAGAGAGAGAGCTCCCATCCGCTGGTTCTCTCCCCAAATGCCCGCACCAGCTGGGACTGGACCAGGAACCCAATCAGGCCTCCCACATGGGTGGCAGGGACCCAGCTACTTGAGCCATTACTGCTGCCTCCCAGAGTGCACATGAGCGGGAAGTTGGGGCCAGGCAGGAGCAGAGCCCAGACTCAAACCCAGGCACTCCCGTATGGGATGTGGGTGTCCCAGCCGGCAGCTTAATTGCTAAGCCAGAGTCAGCTCCAGACACTGGGTTTTCTTAAAGTGTTGTGACTTGCACTTGCCACACACGATGGGGATGTGGAAGGGGGTTGGTGTATGTAATACCCCGCCCACCCCACCCCCACCCCGACCCCCTGCTTCCTGGTGGCAGGTGCTGCAGGAGAAATTCTCGGAGTTTGCCAATGAGACGGGCACGGCAGGGCGGGAGCGGCTGGCGGCCGTGAACCAGATGGTGGACGAGCTCATCGAGTGCGGCCACACGGCGGCAGCCACCATGGCCGAGTGGAAGGACGGGCTGAACGAGGCCTGGGCCGAGCTGCTGGAGCTCATGGGCACCCGCGCCCAGCTGCTGGCCGCCTCCCGGGAGCTGCACAAGTTCTTCAGTGATGCCCGGGAGCTTCAGGGACAGATCGAGGAGAAACGGAGACGGCTGCCCCGCCTGACGGCGCCGCCGGAGCCGAGACCCAGCGCCAGCTCCATGCAGCGCAACCTGCGAGCCTTCGAACATGACCTGCAGCTCCTCGTGTCCCAGGTGGGGCGCAGCGGCCGGCAGAGGCAGGTGGGAGGGCAGAGCAGGTGGAGAGAGGCGGCAGCAGGGCAGGTAGGAGCAGGCCAGGGGACAGCAAGGGACTGGCTCGTGGTGCAGCGGGCGTGGCAGAAGTGAGACACAGCTTCCGGCAGAGACTGCTCCTTAAACTGCAAAGCGAATCTTGCCCGAATCCAGGTGTAGAGACTAACGGGGAGTTGGGCGAGGGCGAAGCGAAATGTGGCCGTGGGCAGAGAGAAGTTAGACTGCAGGTCTTTGATGGGCACCGTGTGATTTTTCTGAAAGGAACTTGATGGGGAGAGTTGAAAAGGCCACGAGCTGATGGGAATCAGACAGAGGCTGAGACGGGGGTGGGGAGGTGGTCTGGGGAATCGGAGGGCAAAGAAGCTGCAAATCCTGGAGAACCGGGCGCCAGGGCTAAAGGGAATGGGACTCTGGGAATTTTTTTTTAAGATTTTATTTATTTGATAGGTGGAGTTATAGGCAGAAAGAGAAAGACAGAGAGAGAGGTCTTCCATCTGCTGGTTCACTCCCCAGATGGCCGCAACAGCCGGAGTTGAGCTGATCCAAAGCCAGGAGCCAGGAGCTTCTTCTGTGTCTCCCATGTGGGTGCAGGGGCCCAAGCATTTGGGCCATCCTCTGCTGCTTTCCCACCATAGCAGAGAGCTGAATTGGAATAAGAGCAGCCAGGACTCGAACCAGCACCCATGTGGGATGCTGGTGCTGCAGGCAGGGGCTTAGTTTACTGCACCAACCCCCCTGGGAAATACTTATAAGTTCATTAATGTATTTGAGAGGCAGAGAGAGAGAGCAAGCTCCTGTCTGCTGGGTCAGTGCCCAAATGCCCACGCCAGCCAGGGATGGGCTGTGCCAGAGCTGGGAGCTGGGAAGCTGATCCAGGTCTCCCACGCAGGTGGCAGGAACCAGTCACTGAGCCTTTGCTGCTACCTCGCAGGGTCTGCATTCGCAGGGGCCTGGGAGTCAGAAGCCAAAGGTGGGCCTCAAACTCAGGCACTGCAGTGTGGGACACGGCATCCCAGCCACTGAGCCAAATGCACACCCCTGGACAATCACTTTTTTTTTTTTTTTTTTGACAGGCAGAGTGGACAGAGAGAGAGACAGAGAGAAAGGTCTTCCTTTGCCGTTGGTTCACCCTCCAATGGCCGCCGCGGCTGGCATGCTGCAGCCAGCGCACCGCGCTGATCCGATGGCAGGAGCCAGGTACTTATCCTGGTCTCCCATGGGGTGTAGGGCCCAAGCACTTGGGCAGTCCTCCACTGCGCTCCCTGGCCACAGCAGAGAGCTGGCCTGGAAGAGGGGCAACCAGGACAGAATCCGGTGCCCCGACCGGGACTAGAACCCGGTGTGCCAGCGCCGCTAGGTGGAGGATTAGCCTAGTGAGCCGCGGTGCTGGCCGACAATCACATTTATAAGTCAGGAATTAGACTGTGAGTCTGCCAGCCATTGAGTGAACAGGTCCCTCCCGGAGAGGTGGTCACCGTGAAAGGAATCGGGCGATTGAACCAAGCCGGGGAGAGCAGGACTCGTACAGCAGAGCCAATGGGGACTGGGCAGGGGACTGCCGGCAACAGAGTCACCCTGCGGGAGGAAACTGGGCAGTCAGGGTCTGAAACAAACCGGATGGAGTAAACCTGGAGAGTGGGCTCAAGGAACAGCAGGTGGACAGGGCTTTCCCAGAGGAAACCGGATGCAAGAAAGAGAGGTGGGGGGCACCCAGAACCCCCCAGGAGGTGTGAGGGTCAGAGCAGGTGCAGCAAAGAGGCTGGGCCGGAAGCCTGGGGGGTGGAGCCGCAGGTGCAGGCGCCCCCCCCTCGAGCTTTGCACTGGGCCAGCAGCCAGGGGACAGGGAGGGCAGACCCCAGGCCCGGGCCGACCCGCCGTGCCCCTTCCCCCTGCCCAGGTCCGGCAGCTGCAGGAGGGGGCCGCCCAGCTGCGCACGGTGTACGCGGGGGAGCACGCCGAGGCCATCGCCGGCCGGGAGCAGGAAGTGCTGCAGGGCTGGCAGGCGCTGCTGGCCGCCTGCGAGGACGCCCGCCTGCACGTCAGCTCCACGGCCGACGCCCTGCGCTTCCACAGCCAGGCCCGCCACCTGCTCTCCTGGATGGATGGCATCGCTGGCCAGATCGGGGCCGCCGACAAGCCCAGGTGCCCTGGCCCCCCTCCTGCCTCTGGCTGCCCCACCCCACCCCAGGGCCCCCCAGTCCCCGGACAGCTCCCTTCCCCTAAGACTCCGCAGCAGCCAACAACGTGGGCGGGCACCTCTGGGTGCCAGGCGCTATTCTAGGTGGCTGCTGTGGGTTAAGACCCCTTGTCGGGCCTGGCACCGGGGCCTCAGCACACAGGGCCCTCTCTCCGTGCCCTCCCCGTGGGGTCGCGGCATGGGACGGGCTGGGGAGAGCTGAGGCCCCACGTGTCAGGCTGAGTGAGCACCTGGCACAGCATCTCAGCGACCTGACCCACACGGTTCCATGTGCGTGTCCGGCAGAAGCCCCCGGGTCTCTCCCTCGTCGCTCCTGGGTGTCCTTTGCTGGGCCCCCTGCATCCAGCTGCCGACGGGAAAAGACTTAGCAGGAAGGCCAGGCAGGAGGCTCAGGCACCGCGCCTACACGCACCTGCTGTTGGCCGAGTGCCCCCTTTCCCTGCCCTCCAGGCCGGCTGGACGTGTGGCCTGGCCGGGTGCCCAGGCAGAGGGGACTTGGAGGGCGAGGGCAGTGGCGTTGTTTGTGTCATTGTGGCGCCTCGAGCCCCGCTCATTTACTCTGAAGGTGTTCATGGAAGGCTGGGCTGTGCTAGGTGGCGACAAGGCCAAGCCCCGCCCCGAAGCAATGCACAGTCCAGCCACACAGACGCCCCCGCCCCCAACCCCTCCCCATGTTACTGAAGCACCTGGTCAGCGCCATAAAGTGAGGTAAGGGCCGAGGTGACAGCTGGCAAGGCCCCTCTGGGCCTGTGGCATTGGAGTGGAGAACGACAGGAGTCCGGTGAACTTTTGGGGGAAGGTTTCCAGGCGGAACAGGTGCAAAGGCCCTGAGGTGGGCTTGGGTCAGGCCTGTGTGAGGAGGCACCAGGCGACCACTGCAGCTGGGTGGAGTGGGGAGAATCAAGAGTGGTAGGCAGTGGGGCCCTGGAAACCACATGGCGGGAGAGGTGTCTGGAAGCCCTGGGGGAGCTCAGAGCAGGGAGTGATGTGCTTGGTTGAACATTTGAGGAAAATCCTTCCACCCCATGCCGGGGCAGGGTAGCTGAGGAGAAGGCTGGAGGCTGGCGGGCCAGCCAGGACGCTGCTGCAGGGAGCAAGTGGGAGACAGGGGTGGCTGGGACCAGCGTGGCGGTTGTGGGGATGGAGAGAGGGGCTTGGTGTTCCTGTCCACAGCCACAGTGACATCCGGTCTTGAACCCCCGACTTCGGCCACTCTGGTTTCAAGCTGTACGCTGCTGTACGCTGCCACACCTTCCCCCCCACACCCCTGCTGCGTTCTTTTAGAACAAAGCCCTACCGCTGGGTCATTTCCCAGGGTGCTGGTTCAATCTGTAGATGCCCGGCCTTGCTGGTGGACTGGCTTCAGATGCAGAGGGAGAGAGGAGCGTGGGTGGCAGATGGGCAGGTTCCCAGGGAGAGGGAGGGAGGGGAAGCTTGCTCCAGGCACACAGGCGTGCGCCTGGAATGCTGGACCACTAGACGGCAGTGGTGTCGTGGCCATCTTGGCTGCAGGAAGTGGATGCTCTTGGCACGGAGCCCCGAGGACACGCACTGCGATGTGGCGCTGTCGGGAAGAAGTCCAGACACACGAGGTCTCACAGAGCCTAACTGCTAACTGCAGGAATGGGGGGAATTTGTTCTGGACAATCGATGACCCAGCACCGCACTGTCCAAGCATCACATAATGCAAGACACACAAATAACTTAATCTCTTCTTATAACCATGTTAGCATAGTAAAGGAAGCAGGTGAAAAAAATGAAATATAACAATACATCATAATTAGCCCAATAATGTTGTCACTTCCATGTGTCATCAATAAATTTTTTAAAGATTTATTTATTTGAAAGCCAGAGTTACAGAAAGCAAAAGGGAGAGACAGACAGAGAGATGTTCCATCTGCTAGTTCACTCCCCAGATAGCCACAATGGCCAGGCTGGGCCAGGCTGAAGCCAGGAGCCAGGAACTTCATCTGGGTCTCCCCCTTGGGTTCAGGGGCCCAAGCACTTGGGCCATCGTCTGCTGCTTTCCCAGGCCATTAGTAGGGAGCTGGATCAGAAGTGGAGCAGCTGGGACTTGAACTGGTGCCTGTATGGGATGCTGGCACTGCAGGCAGCAGCTTACTCCATGATGCCACAATGCTGGCCCCATGTCATCAGTATTAAAATGGTGGTATTCTTAAACAAAACCCTTGGAAGGGCAGAGTCATTGGCCAGCAGGACCTTAAGAAGCGTAGTTTTGGGGGCTGGCGTTGTGGCACAGTAGGCTGAGCCTCCACCTGCAGCGCTGCCATCCCGCACGGGCACCAGTTTGTGTTCCGGCTGCTTCTGGTCCAATCCAGCTCTCTTTTAATGGCCTGGGAAAGCAGTGGAAGATGGCCCAAGTGCTTGGGCCCCTGCACCCACGAGGGAAGCTCCTGGCTCCTGGCTTCAGGTTGGCCCAGCTCCAGCCGTTGCAGCCATTTGGGGAGTGAACCAGTGGATGGAAGACCTTTCTCTCTTTCTCCCTCTCTCTCTAACTCCGCCTCTCAAATAAATAGATCTTATTAAAAAAAAAAAAAAAAAAAGCCCAGTCACAGAAAGCTTCAAACATTGACCTTGAAAGCCTGGAAGGTTCAAGTCACAGTAGCACACAACGTTGGCACCCCGGAAACCTGAAGTCCTCAGATCTGTGGGGAGGAGCCTTGGACCTTAGAACCTGCTCCTGGGGGCAGATGTGGTGAGCGCCGCAGGGCGCCAGCCGCAGGGCTTGGGCCTGGCCAGGTGCCACGTGTCCAGGGAGGGTGGAGGGAGGCCGCTGTGCTCAGACCCCTGCCCTCCGCCCGCTGCAGGGACGTGTCGTCCGTGGAGGTGCTCATGAACTACCACCAGGGCCTGAAGGCCGAGCTGGAGGCGCGGGTGCCCGAGCTGACCGCCTGCCAGGAGCTGGGGCGCTCCCTGCTGCTCAACAAGAGTGCCGTGGCTGACTAATATTTATCTTTTCTGGGCTCCCAACTCCTCCTGTGCGTTGTGTGGTTCGCCCCCAAAGCGGGTATTTTCCTAGTTATCGTGTTTCATAAGCACCTCTCATGCACTTACGTCGAC